GCCTACTCGACTGAGAAGAAAAAAAAGGTCTCACAAGAAAAGTAAAGTCACGAGAAGGCTGCCACTCTTGCAGATCCAAGAAAAATATGTCTAGATTGGATCTAAACCAAAACCAGGCTGCTGAAAGCCGCGAAATTTTAACGAGACACGATCAAACCGACTCGATTCAGTCAGTGTCCCATTGAGGGAGGTGTCCCACGAAGGGGGTCGTGACTCTAGATCTAATCTAGATCTAGATCTAGATATCTAAAACCGGTAACCTTGTCAGTAGAGTCATAATTTGACCTGCACCCAGTAACACAACATTTTCTGCCCAATTTCAACAAGCCTATACAATGTATTCCATTAGAAAGCACTGAAATTGATAATCCAAAAGAAATACTAGGCTTATCCTCATGTCACACGTTTCACATCACAAGGCAAGACGTCTGACATTTTGAAAACTTTGTTTACCTCTGTCGCTATTCTTCTCACCTCCCCTGACCTATTAAATTTCAGAAATGTTTTTCAAGTAAAAAACCCAAAAACAATTGTAATTAAAATGAAGAACATTTTCAAATGTGAAAAAATGTAAAGTGCACATTGAAAGCTAATTGGTATTAAAGGAAGGATATTTCTTTATATCTGCAGGGAATATTGAATACTTAGTATAATGCTATTTATAGGAATGAGATGACAATCGGCTGTTTAATGTGACTCCCACGTTGTGACCTAGTTCTGTCTCGCCTGCGCCTCCACATTTTCAGACTAGGCTAGATCTAGCTTTCGGTCACGCTGAGGAGGTCTGACTGATAATTTCAGTAAGCCGTGTGTTCTACCCTCGGAAAGATCGGCGCCTAGCAAAATTTTTAATATGTCACCAACATGCCGAAACATAATATACGGTGGCCTCTCGGTCCTCGCCCCGAAGTTTTTGCGTGGTGTAGGCCTAGAGACGACTCAAAACGATCCTCGTCCACCGCGTCAGACCATGGCCAAGGTCAATGGTCTCTGGCCAAGGTCATGCGAGCGACTGCGTGACGGCAAGGCTATTTTTAGCCCAGTGTGTTATGTGTGTCACAGACAGCACACAGGCGCACAACGAGGATTATCACTAGGCCTATTACGCTAAATCTAGGTCTGTATCTATTGCCTAGCAGACGTGTGTGACAATGTCAATTTACATGTTTTAGTTTCAGTTCCTTGTTGACAGTTCGATTCTAGACTAGATCTAGATCTAGATCTAGATCTAGATCTAGCCTAGTTGTAACTGAACCACTGATAGATCTAGAATATAGATATATAAATGTAGATCTAATATATCTAGATCTATAATCTAGATCTAGATCTAGATTGAGAATCTAGATATCTATAGCCTATCTATATCTAGAGATAGGTTATCTTGGTTATCTAGAATCTAGATCTAGATTCACTCCCACAATGGCCATCATGTAAACAAATGGGACCGCAATTGTAGGCCTACAGGAGTGCCTATTATTGTACCTGTAGCCTAGGTCTAGAGTCTAGATCTAGAGATCTAGGTCTAGATCTAGATCTAGATCTAGTCTCGAAATTAACACAAGATTGTAGAATATGTTGAGATAAGGGGTCGTGTGTAGGCCTACTAGATCTAGATCTAGATCTATAATCTAGATCTAATGGTGAGAACTACGTTGGTGTGTTGAGTAAACTAGATCTAGATTCTAGAGTCTAGATTCTAGATCTACACACGGCGCAAGGCCAAAGCTTTCTCGAGAACGAAGTAATCTAGAATCTGGGTCAAGTGCTTTAATTCCATTTTTTTTTGTTCTGTTTTTCAGCACAAATATACTAAATATCTAGATCTAGATCCATTGCAAAACATATTATAATAAGATACAACTTTATTGATAATGTAAAGTGCAATAAAGAAGCAAAAATGTACTATAAATCCAGATGCAAATTTTCTTCCAAAATGAGTCGAATCGAGGCTTTCTTAGTCACCTGTAGGCCTACGGCTGACGAAAAAGTGTGCAAGCTGGAAAATCGCGTAGATCTAGTTAGGCTAGGCCAAAGAAGTCAGTGACTGACTAAAACAAGCTCATTTTTCAATTGAGCCTGGCCTGTAAGTGATGAAAAACCGCAGTGGACGAGAGGCCTTAATGAATAAATGATCTAAATAATGTCGACGGGGACGTAAAACACATACAATTGCATTCTTTTCTTCCCCGAATGCACTCCCCGCCCCCTTTTCTCCTTCGCCCTCAAGATAGACACGACGCGGATTGTCAGGTATTAATTAATTTGCTTATCAAGAGGAATTTCAACATGTGATGAATTAATTTTGCCTTTCCTTACCTTTGTAGTGAGTAACCGACGACTAACCTGGAACCTTGTGAACGTCTGTTGCATTCATTCTGAGCGGATTTTTTTATCAGGAGTTCATGTTCTGCATGTATTCGTGGAGTAATAGTGTCGAAGATATGAACAGGAAAATGACATTTATTACAGATTAGTGACTATTTTAGAACAGTGGCAAAAACAGGACTGTGGCAAAGTCTAAACAATGACAAAGATAGGCAAGTGACAAACTCAGGAAAGTGTAAAGCGGTGTTGAACTATGTAAATCAGAAACGCTGCAAAATGATAAAAGCGCCAAAATCTAGACGGGCAGTGACAAATTCTCGACATTGACGAAATCCAGACATTTACAAGATTATGAAGTGACAAAGCGAGAAAAGTGACAACTCAGCCACAAATATCCCTGCAAAGGGGGGAAAAAAGCCGAGAAAGAGGAAGTGGTAAATCTTTAGTAAAGTTAACAAACTTTCTTTTGAGATGGCTGGAGACAGATTGTGACTTTGTGCGTGTGTTTAAGTTGTGTGTTCTGACATCAGAAACGGGTCGTGACGTCACCAGCGTCTCTGCCACAGTGCCTTCTATTCTCCACGCCACACCACATACAGCAACGACAGCGAAGAGCACGCTCTTTGGGGCTCCTAACATTTCGAACGGATAGGCTACCACACACACACAACGACAGCGGCTACAACAACAAAAACAGCAACAACGACAACAACAGGGGTACGTCATTGAACCTGAACCTACCGGCGGAACCCAACAGCAACAGCAACAACAACAAAACAACAGCAACAACAACAACAAACAACAGCGACAACATTAACAACAACAACAACAACTCCACCCTCACCCCCACAACGGCAACTGCAGCAACCACCACCACCACCACCACCACCATCAACAACAACAACAATCAGCTGTTCAGCTCAGGGATTATGAGTTCAAGGTCACCATCGGTCAAGGTCACCAGCCAGCCGCCGCCGCCTCATCTGCACTCAGTGACCCCATCACCCCGCCATGAACCATGAGCCGATCATCCTCTTCCCTGGCTCAGCGCAGGTCTTTCACGGGCGGTCGCAAAGTTTCCCGCGATAACCGCAAGGAACCCGGCGTGCAGCGGACCGGAAGTGACGCGCACAGGACTACGAGGACGCCATCCCGTGATGCCGCCATGCATGAGAAGCGTCAGAGGAGTCGCCATGACAACGCAGACTCGGACAAAGCCACGCGCAGCATCTTCGGGGATGTTCCGCTCACAGGTAGGGTCTTAGAGGTACACGTCCCTCTCTCTC